ACCCCCAATATTAGCCAGAAGTGAGCTCTTTTTTTTGGACAGAATAGTAATCAGACTTTCCTCTTTTATCAATTATTCTATAATTATTCGCGTTTTTAGCACACAGTTGTAGCAAGCAAAAAAACCAACTAGTATCAACCAACAAATTTTCCTTTCAAGAATACTTGGTCATGACAAATTAGGCTTTTCGTTTTCAACATTGCCCCCTTAAAAAAAGAATCTATACTCGTTGAATAACAAGTAATTTCCTCAACTGTACAACATCATCGAAAAATCACTCTAAGAATATTTTTCAAAAAATCCAAAACTCCATGCAAAGAGTAAAAATTAACGAGTGATGGTGGAACAACTATCAGCAAACGTAGAAGGTGAGGTCCAGCGTCTCTTATGGGCCCCCTTGTATCTTCATGACGATTCCGCTGTAAACACACGATGTTTAGTCGCAAGGCAGCCAGCCACTGAGAGCGTAACCTGATACTTCTGTTGCGTGTCGAAACGAGAAAGGAAATATATGGTTCGCGTTCGTAATTAGCCGACGGACGGTTGAGATACGGTATTTTTCTTATTGGAGGCAACGTTCGGCCCTGTGTATGTGTGAGAGAAAGAAAGAAGGAGCGAACGTGAGGTTGAATGATATGTTGAGAGAGAAAGAGAGTTGTTAATCGCGAGATAAAAGAGAGAGAGAGATATGGAGTCGTTTAATTTATTGGAAGCTGTAGAAAAACGTGAAGAAAAAGAAACGGAAGCTTATAAGCTGAAGATTATTATAAATAAAGTTAAATGATTATACTTTGTTATGGTAGTTCGATGCATTATTTTCTGAGTTTTTGAATGAGATACGATTATTTGCTTTATTATTTTTTTTTTTTTTCTTCTTTTCTCTTGTCCGTGGAATAGTAGGATTTAGTATACTGTACATAATTGTTGTTTGTAACGAGAGAAAGAGAGTGAGTGAGTGAGAGAGAGAGAGAGAGAGAGAGAAATGTAAGGAGCCCTGAGAATTTTAATCGAAACTCATATCTGTTTTTCATCCCTGTCTTGATCGAGAGCAACCTTTCGTTGGACCAGTGTCACGCAGAATTTTAGAAGAAACTTTTTGCTTCTCTCGATTAGAAAATTATTTGCTTAGAGGATACGACAAGTTTTCGGGTGAAAAAGAAATTCCTTGTGATATTGGTCCCGTTTTTTTTTCTTTTTTTTTTTTTAATCGTTTCCTTACTAACAATTAGAAAATTTGCGAATATTGCTCAATTTTGAAAAATTTTATCAGTGGAAGTAGTCCTCTGAGATGAAACACATTGATTTGTCTTTCCGTTTCTCTGAATTTTTGTTCGATGTTGAATTCTCGAGAAGTAGAGACGTAAACGTTATAGTAGCAGTGAAACGGCAATAAGTTAGCGTTGTATAGTAGTTTCGAGAGGAAAAGAAAAAAATCGATCTTTACGAAGATTATTTTGCGATTACTGTAAATAACTCGTGCGAAAGTGTAAGCATTACTTATTCACTATACTCGAGAGAACAATCCATCTTAGCGAACAACTCTATAGTTGACTAACAAAATTT